AGGTTGTCGGATTGTATGTAAGTGTTACGACTACTCCAGGGCCAGCATTCACATTTCCACAGTACAGGCAAGCTAAACAGGTACAGTATTGCTAGGATATACAATTGTTGGGGTAGGGGATGAGAGGAAGGTGGCCCCACCACTATAAGTTACAAGTTACAAAGTTTATTCCACCACTAAAAATATGTACAGTTGCTATCACTGAGTCAGTATGGGCTTTTCGGCAGGCCGTGCGACTTACAAGGGAGGTCGTTCAGGGCGTGCCCCGCTTTTTCGAAACGGTTTATTGCACTTTGTAGGGCCTTGCCCATGAACCATAAAAGTGGGCTTGGGAAAATTGTAAATTGAGAAATTGAGAATTTAAAAAAAGTGGGGAAAATTGCGTTGGGTTGTGCCCGACAGTCTTTCTATAGAAGTCTACAGTGCCTCGCCATAGGGACCCCTATTTTATTAATATCCAAAGATAAAAGTAACAATGCCGATGAAATTCATGCAAAGAGGAAGGAAGGGAGGCATTCCACCAGGTTTGCTGTCCTGCCCGGCGGCCTGCTACGTCGTCGTTCCATCATCGTCTTTACGAAGATGGGATACTCCGGTCACCACTGCCGACCAAATGGTCCACCAAAACCCAAAAAATCGAAGAAAAATTTTTGGCTGGAATCTCATCCATAAGGGTAATCGATGGTCTATTACGCATTTTGACAAATTATTTTCGGTCGTGCGCATCGAATTTGGCGCCGCAGTAAAGCGCTTGAACGTCCTCATATGGGGTTACAGACGTACCTTTCGCTCCTCTTTTTGGCGTTCCTGGGGCCGCTCAGCCAAAACGAAGCCCACTTTTATGGTTCATGGGCAAGGCCCTACAAAGTGCAATAAACCGTTTCGAAAAAGCGGGGCACGCCCTGAACGACCTTCCTGGTTAGTGCTATGCCTAGACCCTTTCCCCAACAATTCTTAAGCTGCAACGATCGATGGAAAAGCGCTGGCGCCGCGTCAAAACCTACGCCTGCTGCTAGGTCCCGACTGACTTCACTGATTACGACTGTATCTACTCCTTAGTGAAGCTCTCCGCATCTGCCACCCTCTCAGGAGCTAAGCCCGGAAAGTTTTGGGAGCTACCTCATAACGCACTACAGAAAGTAGATCGAACTCCCTTTTGTACCTGATGGTGTTTTAAGGGAAAACTCACTGTAATCTGAATAGCAAGCTTGTTCCGTAACGACCGTCTCGACGCCGTTGATTGTCGCCATCCATTTTCCATTACGGCAAGTCATCGCAGTGTTTCGAGCAGCTGGTGGCTGCAGGGTGACGATGCCATTGTCGGTGACGAGTCTGCGATTCATTTCATCAGATTTCAAGGAAGGACAACTCACACTGGTACCCTCAGTATTACGAGCGAATCGATCACACACAGAGGAGTTTACTCCTACCCAACACGAAGTTCTAAGAGAATTTCTGAAAAGATTCGCACCTGTATAGATCCATTTGTCGGCATTGAGGGGTCAGTATTGAGCAGCCTTGAGCGTCAGTTCCCAATGGATTACCACGAGGCGGTGGTTGGTTGGTGGGAGGGGTAGAGATGGTTAGTGGAGGACATGTGCAACCTGAAAAGTGAACAGTTCATAAGCTGTAATCAGCGCTCACTGTAAACGTTTTCGTTCAGTACCCTGATCAGGGAATAGAGCACCTTTCACGTTAGGGACACCGGCCGTTGGGGATCCCAAAAAGCCGTTTTCGGTTAGTGGGAGAGGAGATCGTGATTTGTTTCCATCTCCCCTCCTCGCTCAGCGGTAGTTATATTGGGGAAAATACCCGGACAAGCGGTAGGATCATGGATTGACTGGGGATATGGTACGTAAGTATGATGGGAAGGATAACGTACCAGAGAAGGAAATTCTGGGGAGAGGGGTGGTTTCTTGCCCAAGCTTTCCCCAAGGCGCGCCGCCCGAGCATCGTGGATGAAGGGGATCTCATCAGGGGAGGGGGGAGATCGTCCTTGACCACTGTGGAGGAGAGGGTCGTAGTTGATCAGTGAGGGAGGAAGCGTATCTGACCTTGATAGGAATTTTTTTTCAAGACAAGTTCCCTTTAACGCTCGACGGCTTTTCTGGAAAAAAGTTGAAAGATTCCTGGAAGACTGACAAAAGCGGTAGGGGATCGGGGAAATTTTAATAAAATGGAGGGCAGGAGAGGGAACCAGTTAGTTTATGTTCGTTCAATTATGATCAAAAATCAAATTTGCCTGACCTGTTTCACACTGGGCTTTTGTGTAGACCGTATCCTGCGCGTCGACCCATTGAGTCAAGCCGTTGCAGGACAACGACGTGACAGTTGTTCGCCCATCTCCGGCTGTCATAAGACCGCTTACACAAGTTGCTTCAGGGCATTGTCCTTAATTTCATCGAATTCAAGAGGGTTCTACTCGGAACATCGACTGTTGCCAACGTACCGTCGGTGTTGGTCGTCACAGGAGTGCAGATGAAGCCGGAAAGACATGTCATGCCGGTGTTCGTCAGTGCTGCACATTGGTCACAAGCTGAAAAGGGGAAAGTACCTCTGAAAGGCTTTCCAGAGTAGTCGACCAGAGTGAAGCAGATGACGCGATGACGCGCGTCGACGCGCTACAATTGCAACAGCGCTCCAAAGCTATAAACGCAAACACTGCCGCAGACGGCCAGCGCGATTCATTACCAGTGTGCGTGACTAGACAACGTTTACTATCCTTATTTCCTCATACCCTCTCAGAACACAAGCAACCGGTGCCGATCGATTTCCTTCTGCGGCTGCGTTCGCGTCTATAGCTTTCAAGCGCTGTTGCAATAATAGCGCGTCGACGCGTGTGGCAGCGAGTTACAGCGCGGCGACGCGCATCATCGCAAAGTCTGAACGCTGCCTGCTCAGATTCCATTGCGGCATTCATTTCAATATGTCCAGTGCTATAAAGAAGGCTGTAAAGCGCCCATATCGTGAACGTACGTGTTTCACATTGCGCTAAAGTATACGTGACGTCTTGGGTGTCAACCCATTCGGCTTCTGTGTTGCAGGTCAGAAGTGTCAACGGAGTACGTTCTGTATTCCCTGTGAGACTACCAGTTGCACAGAAGAGTTCAGAGCATTGCCCTGAAATAGATGGGCAATAGTATTATATTAATTTATTGAGCGTAATTATTAATTAATTTTATTTTGTTAAATATTATTAGGTTTCTGTCTCGTGCCGGTGTAGCTCTTTAGATTTATTGTCGAGGGGCTTGATCTGGCTTTGCGTTCTCTCCGGAGCATCGCCGAGGGGTAAAAAATTGAGTGAGTAAGTTGACGGTCGTTCTGAGTGTCGGTCGGTAGATCCACTTTGCGGCAAGCGCATTCATAGCTTGTATTTCCTGAATAGTTGACTCACAAATCAAGTACAACAGCGGTTGTCTTCGCGTTGAAGGAGGGCGTGGGAATCTGGGGCGGGGCTCCCTACAGGTGGAGCTTCACGCAACATGCAAAATCGCTCCGCGAAAGCACGCTCAATCACTTCGCGAAATGTACAGGTGGGAACAAAACAGCGCTTGCAACCGCAACGTGGATCTCTCAACCGACACCTCAACGTTTTCTGGTCATCCTTGAAGGAATAGAACTACCAAATTCTCACCTTCACGCTGCATGGCAACTTCACAGATGAGACCTTTGGGACAGTCCATACCGGTGTTCGTCAATGCGGTACATTCAGTACATGCTGAAACACTTTCAATGAGAAGATAACAGTGCAAGATATGGACTCAGGGTGTAACCGTTTCTAGGATGAGCCGTGAACTTAAGGCATTAGCCACTATTCAAACAGCGCTTGGTCGAAAGCGGATAGGAAGCACAGTTTTTCAGCTATCGGTCGACGTGTGGGCGCCTCGCAAAAACACCTATGGGACGGGGAAAACTATAATTCACATACAAAATGTAACGGTGACTGGGAAGGTTTCTAGGGTTCCCGCCCAACAAACGAGAAATTTCAAAGAGGGAAATATTTTTTTTTACTAGCTGAAAAATTCCTGATTGTGAGTAGTTGTGACCTTGCCTTCTTCAAGGCATATTCTACGCCTTGTGGTCGGAGCCACTCGGATCATCTACGCTTTCGCATTGGGTGGTCCCTTTGTCCAGGATACCAAAAAGAGGGACGTACCATTGAGGGAGGCGAAATCGTCCAAGTGACTCTGCCTATACAACTAGCTTGCAAAAATTCGTTTGTATGGTAGTAGCATATGCCCCAAACTTTTGAAGATCCTAGGCTCTTCCCCAGCGCTTTCCTAAACGCCTACAACGTTGTGAAACGGGCAGGCTTGCTTAAGTGTAATGGCAAAGAGAACATCCAGTTGCTTCCACCTTCCTGAGTAGAAGTTGTAAGCATGGCGTATTCCACTACTTGTTAAAGGTTCGAACAGAAGAAGAAGAAGAACTCACGGGCTTCGCATTGTGCTGCTGTATAAACGGCATCCTGATCATCAACCCATTGGGCTGATCCATCACAGGTCAATGACGTCACTTCAACACTTCCAGGATTCGCTTTCATCGTTCCTTCAGTGCACGTCACGGATGGACATTGTCCTGTAAAAGAGGATGAAATTTCTAGTCCTGGTTTCCAATTTTTGCCCTGCACGTTCGCTATCCCTGTGAAAGAAGGGCGTGTGAAGGGTCGTGGATTGAACGTTGCCTAGGCAGCCTTTCCCAATAGTGGTTACTGGCTATCATGGCGAAAAGGTGGTGGAAAAGGCTGCCCTGACCGCGCTGACCGATCAGTCCTTTCGCTGTGTACGCTGAAGCATGTCAGGATGAGAGCGCGGCTGGAATAAGCGCGGAACCAGCCCCTTTTCCACCACCTGTCGTTTGCCCGCTTGAATGGTTGGTGGAGAATGGGCTGGCGTTGCGCCAAACTCTGCCCCTGACACGCCTCTGTATCTGCAGCGAACAAAACTGTAATAGTGGCCTGCGCCTAAATGCACTGACCGCAAATACACAATTTGGAATTCGTCGTTTTCCCATAAACTGCTAATTGCTACTGAAAATGCTCGAGAAAATAACCTACCTGCTTGGAGGGTAACATCTTCGCAAACGAATCCTATAGGGCATGTCATACCATTACTCGTCAGTTCAGCGCACTCATCACATCCTGCAAGTTGTATTGTCATTAAGGGTTAAATTTTGTGAGAACTTAAAGGCACAGTTCGCGACCGCAAATTGCGGGAAACGGAACTCAAATAGGCACAAAAAAGTGCTAAGTATCTGATTAGCGGAGAAAAGCAGCAGAAAAGCAGTCCGAAATGTTATAGAGAAAGATAACATAGTGGCTACTAGCTAGTAGCTAGCAGCCGGTGAGGGTCGGCATGGGCCTAAGGGGTGTCCATGGGCCTAATTAGTCAGCTTCTAGCGGAGTTCTTGCCGTTTTTCACATTTTGAAAGTAGCGCAGCCTCAAAAATCGCCTTCCGGATCGTCCGACACATTTGAGAGGTCATAGCCTTATTTTATCGCGGAATGTGCCTTTAAGTAGAAAACGTGAAGATCTGGGAACATTTCAAAGCGTTCACCACAATCTGTGGACCATTTTCTAAAAGTATGAGCTCAGCTGTTGTGTGTAAATCTGAGAAAATCAGGATCCCTCTTCCTTTTTACAGGGTTCCCTTCGGTACACTCACGTGGCACGCGGGAAATTAGCACACGCCAAGAGGACGAGCCAATGTCTCATGAAAGCTGCAGCCATGTACACCCCATATCCTGAATATGAACTGGACGTGGCTTCGTATTTCCTTCAGACCTGGCGAAGGTTGCGCTTCTATTGCGTCACTCTGGCTTTATGATAATTGTAATAATGTTTTTGTTCCGTACAAGATGAAATGACAGTGGTTTCGAATGAAAATGTCTCGTGAGTAAACGTCATGTCCAAATGAAGTGCGCAGCCCCGCCCTCCCCATCTTCTGGAATGTAATTAGACATTAAACTCACGAGTTTCGCACTGAGCGCTTGTGTAGACAACGTCCAAACCGTCCACCCATTCACTTCCACCGCTACAGGTTAGCGATGTCAATGCCGTCCGGGTTGGATTACCTGTCATATCACCTTCAGGGCAATAGGTTTCTTTGCATGTACCTGAAATTGCAATTGTTGCGAGAGCTCACCTACTGTGTACAGGTGGGGGCAGGGTTATGCATGAGGCTCTCCCAAAACGCCTTCCCTTTCGAAAGCCTATTTCGGGCTGATTGTTCGAGGAGGAGTCACTTGGACTACTGCTTCATGGGTGCGCTCCTCCTCTGGACGAATCCAAAGGAGGAACCCACCAATGACCGGAGACACACTTGCCCAAGTGACCCCTCCCACGACCAGCGCAAAATGTACCCATAACTTGGCTGAACTACATCGAACGCCTGACTGGCTAAAGTGCTCTACAATCGTTCACCAACCTTCTCTCTCCGTTGGTGGTTCACAAATTAGTCCAGTTGGACAAGGCATGCCTGCGTTCGTAAGTGCCGTACAAAGTTCACAAGCTGGAAATATGAAGGTGCATGCAATTTATTGGCTCACTACTACAACAATAATAAAATAGAGTGCGAAAATTTTAACAGCAGAAACTACTGACGAGCGGAAAGGTGGGGAGGGGGATGAGGTGACCCGACCACCTCTTAGAATCAGGTATCTGAAACAGTGGGTATGTGGCTAAATAGCGGCATTCCAGCTCACGAACTACACAGGAGCACAAACCAGGTACGACCCCACTGACGGGATTCTCCCAACAATGCCGATCCCGGTTCAAGACGCTATAAGCTGAGTCCTGCTTCGGATAATTGCGACACCCTCTGAAGCCCTTCCTGACCCACCATAATGCTGTCTCGCCTGCGCGGCGAAAGCAGCTCAGCGAAGGGGGGGGGGGCAGCGTGCTCGGAATCCGCCAGCAGAACCTAGTTGATCCAACGCGAGCGTACTACAGTAAGGCAAGTCAACCCTGCGCTGCTTTCTTCTTGTCAAACCCTGCGACTTCTCAACAATTCTGATACTGGGGGTGATACGACCTCCCCTGGACGCTGTCCTCTGATACGACCCTCTCTTCCCAACCCCTCAATCTTCTGAATTCTCCCAACGTCCTACCACTTTTCCAGAGGATTTCTCCCTCCTCATAACAATTGTTGCCTGCAGGAGTGTGATTGGCTCGGAATAAACAGAGCACTAAAAAGCAAAAATCCGAGAAAATTAATGACCCCAGAAATTTCATTGAGGGAAAATTTGACACCCCTGCCCACGAGCGACCTAGACGACCACACCACGCTTCGGAAATGCCAACGTGACGGCACATTTCCGTACCGTTCCGAGGGTACAGGGACCCATTCTTGGACAGAGCAGTGGAAGTATCCGTGGTAGACAAGCGACACAGTTGCACTGGATCCGTCAGGCCAAATATTGATAGGGTTCGACAAGGTATGACTTCTCTTGCCAAGATGCATAATAACCTGTTCGTTTCTGCTGACACATTTTTATCTTTTCAGCTGACACACAATCCATAAATAATTTCTTCGGGCGCTCTTTGGCTAAGAGAGGGCATTTTGCAGTTCGCGCTTCCGTGTCCGCGTTCATCGCTTTGCAAGAGTCGACAAGCAGATTCTTTAGAATTCGACTGGTACTGACTCACTTCACAGCTTCACAGTTTCACAAATCTATACTTGACGGCTTGACACGCACTTGTGAATCTAGCGAAGCGCAAAATGCTCCTCCCTACGCCGATCTCAGCCATTCTCCAGTACTAAACCTAGTGAGTAGCTTCTCCATGAACTTCACATAATTGCACAACTGCCAGTCTGTGTAGACCGGTGCCTGCCAGTGTCTAACCCATTGCCCTTGAGTTTGCATTTGCAGTGAGGTACCTGTATCCATCCAAGCAGTCTCATTCCGGAGGTCAATAAGACCAGGATTGACCTATATGGCATAATCAACGACTCATTTTAGAGATCTATAGCGGAGACCCACCAGGCAACGTATGCCTTTCCAATTGGCGTGGCTATTCGCTGATGTTTCAGCGGAGAAACATTATAAACAGCAAGAGGTCGCGAGTCTCCGCCTCTTTTTGTCTCCGGAAAGTCTGTCTCTGACTCCACCAGAAAAATACCGTACCTGCGCGCTGAGATACTGTAGTACAAGGTAATGGCCCGGTGGACACTGTGAGACCATTCTGTCAGTCGGTGTGCACCAATTTACAAGCAAAAAGATAGAAACATTGAAATATGATGATATGTCGACCGTTGTAACTTACGCAGTCCGCATGCTGCCTGTGTGATCGGCGCTCCTGCGACCACGAAAGCCCCATCAGTGCAAATGCCTTCCTGCACTGTTTGACCTGAGCTGAACATCTGGCCAACTGTGCATTTGACTGACGTGCAACCGCGTGAGTCCATCGAATATGTGAACGGCCTGAATTGCTGCTTTCGCTTTTCTCCAATTAAATGACCTTTTTACGCGCTCAGTAATGAACTACTCTTCGACGTAAAAGGGTTGAGCATTCTGAAAGAGAAGCAATGTTATACTTCGCGATCCAATTGCTCGGAAGTATGAACGCGCTATTTCAGAAGCGAACGACAGTGATTAAGGATGGTCAGTCAACAAGCGTCGTGGTCGATCATAGAGTATACTTTATCAACAACTCCATAACCACATGTCAAGTGCAGCAACTTCAGAAGCCCCGAAAGCGAAATCAGGATTTAAACCGGGCGCTGCGGCGAATTCGGCGATCTACGTGGCCTCATGAGCATATACTTCTCATTAATGCTCGTGCTGAGTGCCGATTCAACGCGAAATCGTTACATTAACCCAAGTTAACTAGCCTGGAAATGGCACGTGCGACGAGCTGCATTCTGCCATGGTCCTGAGCCGCTCGCTCGAAAACTGGACCCATTGTGCCTCCCACACCCTCCAACCCCCTCCCCCTAAAATATTGCTGTACAAGAACATAATTTGACCCCCAGAGATGGTGGCGGAACTATAGGACGCAGCGTATCAGAAGGGATAACGCCTATATGGTGTTGAGGACAAAGTATAACGGTGATAGACCCTTATTTGATTAGGGACGCACGCATTTGACTTACTTCCGTTCATAGCAGGTAAAGGTAATGTATTTGATCAATGGGTCTATCTTTCTATTATATTTTCCCATTGCGCGCCTCCACTCTGTTGACACAGGAGGTGTAACGAGTAGCGAAGTTACAGCTGTTGGCTGTCTCCGCCTATGCGACAAGCGTGGACTGAAAAAAGAAGGATACACCAAGGGGAAAATACAACTGTTGGCTGTCTCTGCCTTTTCGATCAGCGGGGACTGCACAATAGGCTCAATTGTTGGCTGTCTCCAACCCACGCAATCAGCGCTCTATACTCGAAATCCCTGAGATCGGGTAGGCGTGGCTGCATGCTTCAACTTAACCTGAAGGTGTCTATGCTTCTGGTGAGATATTTTCATCTTGACACAATTGTTGTCGTGTCTCTGTCCAACACAGAACAAGATGACAGTTGTCCCAGACTGAAATATTCCACGAGTAACCAATTCCGT